CCCAAGGCCGCCCTCCTGAGACACACCATCACTGTACACAGATGGAGGCAGTGAGATGAAAGCCCAAAACTGGCCCTTTATGCACAATCTGCCAAGAATAATAACAATAATAACAATAAAAAGCATGTGGAGCCAGCTAAGAGCTCTGTGTCCATCCACGGCTCCAGCCTCCCTCCTCTTTTCTATGCAACAGGTGATCTTGATAAAATAAAATAATAGTAATAATCTGCTCCATTAGGATAAAACATTAAGGGAATTACTGAATGAGAAGCAGGAGAGGCAGCTGGAAAAGGAAGTTTAATGGCCATTACAGTTTAACTCTCCTTCATTTCCAGGATAATGGAGCTGTGATGTACGCTCTGAGCCTCCTTCCAAACTTTCTTTAAAACAAAAAAAAAAACCAAACAAAGAACAAACAAACTCCATTGATTAAGGATCTGCAAAGGTGGGGCTGGCTGGCACACTCTTTCTGGCTAGGAGTCTGCAGCCAGGAAGTGGGGAAATCTCTTGCTGGGGCTGAAAACTGGCACTGAACCATAGAATCCTAGAACCCTAGAATAGTTTTGATTGGAAGGCACCTTAAAGGTCACCTTGTTCCATGCCCTTGCCGTGGGCAGGGACATCTTCAACTATCCCAGGTTGGTCCAAGCCCCATCCAACCTGGCCTTGAACACTTCCAGGGATGGGGCAGCCACAGCTTCTCTGGGCAACCTGTGCCAGGGCCTCACCACCCTCACTGTAAATAATTTCCAATAATATCCGATCTAAACCTGCTCTTTTTCAGTTTAAATCCATCACTACATGCCCTTGTAAAAAGTGCCTGGCCATGTTCATGCAGAGGTTTTTAGTGGTAAAGTCAGAGCCTAATTCCATATCATGTCCAATCCCTATGAGTTCTTCTGATCCATAAATAAGTGGGGGGCTATCCCCATCCCTACTGGAGATGGCCTCCTGTGTCATAGCCCTCCATCACCCTGGGAAAAGGCCCATCTGCAGATGGGGTGACAAGTTGGTGGGAGGAATACCGGGGCATTCCTGGCTTTTCCTCACTCTCTCTATGCACATAAAATCCCCCACACACCAGAGAGCTCTGCCATATGCCTCTGCTAAACAGGGGAGGCTTGAGTTTGGTGGACACCCATTTGCTTCAGTTTGTGACTGCGGGTTCTCAAAAAAGACTTGTTATTTCACTGAAATTTGATGTCTTTTGCCCTGATAGTCTGAGAGCTCAAACTGTCCCTGAGGAAAAGCTGCCTGTGGCCTCTGGAGATTTCAAGAGGCTCTGTGGGGAGGATGAAAGCCAGCACTGAAGTGTTCTCCACCCACTGCACATTGGAGGGGACCAGGGCACCCCCTCAGGTCCCTGGTTCCCCTCCATGGGAGCACAGAGATCCCATTCTGTCTTCCCCCTGACCCACATGATGGCTGTGAGGAGCCCTGCACCTGATGGCTGTGGGAGTGCTCCTTGCACAGTCCGTGTGAGGACCACAGTCACAATGGATACAGCCCCTTGCTCACATCTCTTCTCTTGGCAACCACACAGGAAAGAAAGAAAATCAGCCTTGAACACTCCATGTGATCTTGAATCCTGGCACAAAATCCAACCTCTGTTTTTCAGAGTGAAAGGATGCTGCTGGAGTGGAGCTGAGAGTGATGGGAAAAAAGGGGCAGAGGGAGGACTCAATCTGTATTTGCACATTTTGGTAGGGGAGCAACGAGTTGCAGATATCCTTTTCATCATCTTGATAATGAGCCTTGTTCCAGTTACTCCTGCCTTGGTCTTGGAATCCAGCAGGACCCAGGAAGACCAAGACCACAGCAGCAGAGTGGGGCCAGGCTCTCCAGAGGTGATGCACCCCCTCAGGAGCAGCTGGGAATGGACAATAAAATAGAGATAATGGCGTAAGATGTTTTGGGGAGTGGCTTTGCCAGTTATTTTTTTTCCTGGAGACTAATCAAGCACAAATGATGGAGGAGAAACCCGGCCTGGGGCTGCAATCTGGAAGAGCAATTGAAGCTCTCATTAGGGTAGGCACCATTAAACAGCCTGTTTGCAGCCTCGGCAACACATTGTCTCCGGCTAATTATCTTCCAGTGGCACAAAAATTGTAGGATTCTTCAAATTTTTTCCAGCATGACGAACAGAACCCCAAACAATCAACACACCACAGATCCGCTTCCAACATGCAGACCCCTCCTTTCTCTGCCATCAAAAGCTCGTCTCCGTGTATCTGGGGGGAGGAGGAGAGCTGTCCAACCTCGACACCACGTGGGATGCTCTGGCTGCACGCTGTGGCACCACGGCCACGGGGCTGCCACGCTGACAAAAGCGGCAGTGACAGTGCCCGGTGGCACCGTGACACCCGCCGCGTGTCGGAGCAGTGGACAGCAGGCACCATCCACGGGCAAAGGGCTCCTGACAAAGTCAGTGTGAATTAACCCTGGGTTAGGGTGGCTGAGACCTTCGAAGCACAGAACACCACCCCCCCCAGGGGATAAAGGCACCCCGCAAACATATTTTCAAAGTGATGCAAACTAAGGGAGAGGTTTAAAGAAGTTCAGTGTTAAAGCATCACTCGGAGAGGCGCCCGAGGCATCTCAACTACCCCCAAAGGGGGGCTCAGTTCCCCATCCTAGGGCAGCTGGAGCCAGATGGGGAATATAAATGGCTTTTCAAAAGCCACTACATTTTCTACAGGCTTCTGGACAGCTAAGGAGGGGCTGCCTTCCCACCACGTACCATGACGGAGATGTGGAGGATCCTCAGCTCCTCCTCTGCCGACTCGGTCTGGGGCTCCTCTGTGGGGTCGAAGCCGGGCAGGTTGGGGGCCCCATCTTGGTGGTGGATGTGGAAGAGCAACGTGCCATTCTCCAGCCACTGCTGCCGCCAGCGCACCAGGGGGATGTCGTCCGTGTTGCCTGAGATCTCTGCGAAAGCAAAGCTGGTCAGGGGGGAAGTACGGAGGAGAGGGTTGATGGGGACATTCCCCTCTTCCCAAAAAAATGGGTGGAAGGATCGAGGGTTACACACAGAAGGCTCCCTCTGGTCACCTCCTGTCAGCGCCATGGCTGCCCCTACACAAACCACAATCTAAAATGGTTAAAGCAGAGTGAAATCATATTTCTAGTTATAATCCAGATGAAGGCCTCTCCAAAAATCCAGATGTGGTGCAGGGAGAGAGCACTCACTGACAGCATCTCGGGGCCAGAGGCGGGGAACCCAGCAGCATCCTTCCAGCTCTGATTTGGGCAGGTTTCACCCACACACCTCATGTTCAACACAGCTCCAGGCACTGGGAGCAGAGCAACTTCTCAGCAGCACTGATGGGATCACCGGGACCACGTCACAAATTATCGCAGACAAAATATCTCCCATCCTTTGTGAACAATGAGACATGCACGGAGCTGCAGTCACACCTGAAGCTCTGACTTTGACTGAGGTGATTTCAGAGGTTCTCAGTCTTCAGTCATGTTTTACAGCTTCCCACATGGGACTCAGCCCAAAGACCTGCAGAGGTACCTGCAGCTTCTGCCCAAGTACCCTGACTTTCCCTAAGTGCTTTTAACTTCAAGGTTTAGGGACAATGGGTCAGATCAACAGAGCTGTGCTGATGAGTGATGGCAGTAGAGGATACCCAAGCAGGAGGAGCAGCTGAGGACAGGGACACAACATGTGCTCCAGTACACTAAATGCTAAATCAAACCGAATTCACCTGACTGACTCTAAAATTTCAAGAACATCCTATGGCTGGGTCTCAGCCAAAGATAGGGTCACACCAGCCCATCCCTAGGAGAGATGGGCACCGTTTTAATCATTACCTCCACCTCCAGCCAGATCACCTCGATCACCATCTCACACCACCTTGATCTCAGCCATCAGCTCAAGCCTGCCATTTGCCCATTAGCTAATTTTCCTGAAAATAGCAGATTTTGTTGGGACAACAAAAAAAAAAAAACATGATGAGCTTCCCAGTGAGGCACAACTCCCCCTCCTGCCTCGGCCCTGTGGGGACAGTCCAGCCAGACCCATCCGCTCCGTCCCATTCGTAGCCACGCATTTTGAGGGCAGTGGGAAAGAGCCCGGCTCACTTCGGGCAAATTAACATCTTTATTTTGCTTGTTTCACGCTGCCTTCAAATGAAAACTGGAATTCAATTACAGTGCCGAAAAGCAACATTTTAAATTTGCTGTTAATTAATTTCATTAGGCTGCCTTAAGTGAGCCGGCTGCCGGGGATGGTGGCGGGAGGAGGGGGGCAAAAATCTGCATGAGGAACCAGGTTCATCCTCCCAAACTGATTTGATTAATCAAAGGAAACATTAGCCACAGCGAGCGAATTGGCAGATTGTTTGTGCTCAGCACGGGCCGCATTCCTGGCAGTAATCAGTGCACTTGGAGTGTCCCGAGCAGAGGGATGCCGAGCGCTCCGCGGTGCCGCCGGGAAGCAAAACCGAGAGGAGTTAAAGTCACCGGGAAGCCAGAAGCACTTTTGAAATTCCCTCTAACTGCTGAGCTGCGTGTGTTTAGGGACACACATCCCCTTTGAAAAGCTGGCCCTGGGAGCTGGGAGGGTTTGAAACGGCACATCTCCTCCTCTCCCACCTGGTCTTTATTCATGGGCTGGAAGGGGGGAACAAGCTTGCCCGCTTTCCCAACTCCCCACGGCTTCTCAACTTGGAATGAACCAGCTCAAATGGAAGAAAACACTCTCCCTGCACCTGCCTGCTAATGTGAAATTAGGAGTAATTAAGGCAAGAGCTTTTATGCACAACAGGAACTCAACATACTGACATTTGGAAAAAATGTAAATATCAGCATTTGCTCCATTGTAAAGAGTGAAAATAATAGATACTAAGAATGTGACATTGTGACATTTAGAAAGCTAGAGTTAGAGATGTTTTTCCCCTGATCTGACATATCATTGTAAAAGCAGCACCCTCCAGCTCATTAATATTTGAGGAGAAATCCTTGATGGAAGTTATTTAAATGATTAATAGATTATAGTAAATTTAAGCCTTAAAATAGGTTGTCATAATTTCAATTTTATTTAAACAGGCTTATTTTTTAAAAGAAAAATGTATTCCAGTAAAAAATGGATTCTTGTTTTAAAAGAACAGAATCCAGCCACAGAGCCTGGGTGCATTATCTTTTCTCACCAGACATCACGACATGATCCTGCAGCCACATTGCACACAAGTTAGAAATGCTTGTTAGACAGAAGAAAACACCCCAAAAATCAACCACCATCACCCCAAACTGGGAGGCTGTGACCTCTTCATCACACTGCAGGACAAGGCTGCTCCACCATCACTGCTCCTGCCCTGGGCAAGGGCTCCTGAGGCAGCACCTGGATGAATGGGCTTCACCCTTGGATCTTCTCCTCCTCTCCTCAAGTGCCTTAGCAACACGTCAGCTGCCCTAATCCTACTCCATTTTTACTTGAAAAAATTACACATATAAATGCTTTCCTGCACCTCTGAAGTTCTCATGGAGTTTGGTTCCAGCAACACGTCAGTTGCCCTAATCCTACTCCATTTTTACTTGAAAAAATTACACATATAAATGCTTTCCTGCACCTCTGAAGTTCTCATGGAGTTTGGTTCCAGCAACACCAAGACAAGCCCAAGCTTCCTCCCTAACACAGCATTTCTCTGTTACCTCTTCTCCCAGTCCAATGCATTCCACTTTTATCTTGCTCTCCAAGCAGACATCTCATCACCTGGTGGGAGATGCCATGGTGACCCATGTAGCCAGCTGGGACCATTTATCTGGATGCCACAGGGAGTCAGCTCTGCCACGGGACTGGCAGGTGCCAACTCTCCTGACCAGGTTGTACCATGGGGCCAGAGGAGGTGGAAAAGCAAGCAGAAAGCCAAAAATTAAAAAAAAAAAAAGCCCAGGGGGAAAGGATAATTTCAAGTTCAAAGTTTGAAGGATACTGATGAAAAGCCTGGCCCCTCTGTGGCTTTCATTAAGGCCTTGGATAGGAAGCCATTAGCACGAGTATTAACTTCTTGCACCTCTGTTAAAAAATAGCCTGCCTGAGTCAGAGGTTAATAACAGTAGGAGACCACTAATTAGGCTGTGCTGCATTCACCTGGAATCAAACGTGGCCCAGGTCCTTCATATCTACAGGAGCAGCAGCCTCCAAAGGCCCCAGCTGAAGCTTTCAACATAACAGCTGTGGCTGCTCCCCTCCCAAACCATCTGTGAGGGGAGGGACAGGGAAGGAAAGGTTCTGGAGGAGTGATTTGAGGAGAGGACAAACGACCAGACTGAAGGTGCTGGAGGTGCATGGATTTATACCTGCTTCAATACTGATTATCCCAAACAACCTCATTTCCCGAGGGACAGCCGTCCCACCCAAAGCAAACCCAATCCTTCCGGAGGCAACACCACTGCATCCCCCAATTTTGGGAGGCAACAGCTCTGTCACAGCCCAATTCTGCACCTGAGCTGGTGCAACATTAAAACCATGGCCCAGGAGCCCAGTGCTGACATGGACCCATTTCCATGTACTCACCTCCCCACTGGGCCCTGGCATCGTGGCACACAAAGAAAAGAGCTCTCCTTAAAACCTCATGTCAGCATTTCGATGGAAAAAACCACCCAGCAAAACAATTTTCCTCTCCATTTGGAAGTGTTTTGCACTAATAGGTGCCTCCAATAAGTCAAATCAACTCTGCCATAATGCCAGTCTCCACAGACTCATTTCATACAGCAGAGCACGGATTTTGACTTGGACTTGTATTTCCTTGTTAACATTTAGACCTGGCTTATTTTCCATCTGGAACCTGACTGGGTTTTTATTTAAGTTCCCCATTAGCTAAGGCTTTTGCTCCATGTCTAAACCTCACAAATCCTTTAAAGGGCTCAAATTCAGCTAAAGCAAGTCTTGCACTCCTGTGCAAGGGTCTCCAATGTCTGAAGAGACTCAGGAGACTTTCCCACCATGAGTCACCTCAGGCCTTGATTACTATCAATTCAGATGTCAAAATGCTTATCCTGATATTTAACTCGTTTATACTTCCAGGGTTTTAGTGACACATCACTCATGGTGTAATATTCATGTTTTTATGGGCCTGTTAAAAAAACCCACATTCATCACTGACTATCCATATTTTATTTGCTATTTTTTTCGCTGCCTCCCATCTGAGGTAGGAAAACCAGCTCATTCTGTAGGTCATTTCACCTTTCCAAGACAATCCAGCTTTTCCATACCAGCAAACATAAATCTCACCTTATATATTGGGAACCTGCTTCAGTCCTGGGACAAAATTTCCAAAAGACTCATAGATACGGGAGAACATAAAGGCTCAAGGAAAAGGCACTGGTGACCTCCCTGGAGCCACTCTCTGGCTGTGTCAGAGAGATCACCCCCCCATGATGTCTGCACGTGAGGCTGGCACACGTGAAGCCGTAGCAAGGCTGACAGATAACCAGGTGTCTCCTCGCAACATAGGGTGCCTTTGCTTTTGGGAAGGTCATCAAGCTACAGCATTTCAAAGCTGTAGCCATGCTTTAGCCCCACCTGAACTGGGATTTTTGTCCCAAATATGCCACGGCCCTAATTCATCCCTTTCTTTAACAAACCCCTCCGTCACCCTGGGAGCGACGCTGTGCTGCACGACCGCTTCCAGAGAGAAGGACACTGATTCATCACTAATAGGTCTCAGTCGACTGGGTTTGCTCTGCAGCTGCTGACCTTACAGCACAGCGTGCCCCATTGCCCTGCTCTTCCCCATGGACCTAAAGGATGTGCCCAACCACACCTGCCCAACATCCCCTCCAAGGTTATTTTTCCATCGCGTTTGTCAATTTTGACCAAAAGCTGGGAAAAAACAACGAGCAGACTGGGATGTTCGCTGGTGTTTGATTTCCACTCCTGTCTTGTTAGTTTGGTCCCATCTGCCATAACTGTGAACTACAGAGGAGATGTGGGAAGAGAGACCAAATCCACCTCCTGGAACAACACTCATGTAAAACAAAAACCCCAAAGCCCCACACGACAGTGAGCAAAAGTAAAATAAAGAGAATGTGTGACAACAGCCTATAGATGTGAGGTTG